CAAAGCATGGCCAACAGTGTAAGAGCCCAAGGCGGAGACTTCAAGAGGAGCTTAAAGGGCTTGAAGGGGGGCTTTAAGGGGGGCTTCAAGGGAGAATTTAAGGAGGGGGCTTCAAGGGGGCTTTAAGGGGGGCTTTAAGGGGGCTTCAAGAAAGACACTTTTTTGTTTCATTTTTGGTTGACCGCGTGAATTTTGCGCGCTCCGCGCTAACTGCCAGCTTTACTGTGGTCTCCGCCTGTGCCGCTCCTAGTACCCTTTTGGAGGGAAAACCAGAAGGGTGCCACCCCACATTGTTTGGGTTCAGCAAGGAGTTTCTAAGGTCCCTTTCAGGCCCCCCTTGAAACCCCGCTTGCGGCCTCCCTTTTGCCTAAAGTAAGAAGAAGATTTCTTAGATTCGCCCCTTGTTGCTTGTCGTCGTCCTGCAAAGCCCGTAGAAAAAGAGAGAAACAAGGATTAGCCTGGATTTCACCCCTCGAGAAGACTTGTAGCCCCTACAAGAGGAAAGAGAAAGTGAATTGTTCTAAATTCCACCCTACATTCTTCTTCTCCCTTCTTGTTGGTCGTTCTGCGTAGCCTGTCGGAAAAGGAGTTCCCCCCTCTTCGTTCTTTGTCGTTCTGCGGTGCCTGGAGAAGGACAGAGGAGTCGAGAATTATCTTTCGAGCCGTCCTCCCGTAGAAGCAAGGAAAAAAATTGTTCTAAAATCCATGCCCCCTTGCTTCTTGTCGTCCTACTTGAACTTTTTTGTTTTTTGTATTTCGTTCTTCGAAAAATCAGAGGAGAAGAGAGAGGGATGTTAGTTTAAATTCCACCCCCCTCGAATCTTGTTTTGTTTTTGTCTTTCATTGTTCGAGAATCAGAGGAGTGGAGACTTTTTGGAAGTAAAGAGCGGGGGGGTTGGGGGGGGCGCAGCCCCCCCCATTTACTTGTTGTAGGGAAGTATCTCCCTCTTCGAGTAGTGGCGGAATTGCCCAGGATCAAGTTCGCTCCTAAAGGTGCCTGGGGCAGCAGCACCCTTATCATTCTTGGCGTGAAATGAGCTCCGAGGCGATGGAGCTGTCGATGTCGGCCTGCGTGGCGTATTGCGAAACGTTCAGGGCATCTGGGTGTTCACCTCGGCCTGCGTCTGGGCCGTGGAGCAGGCCTGGCACTCCAGCTGTAGCGTGTTCCCCGAGTTCTGAGCGTGGCCACGAGGGGCCCCGGTGAAGTGCAGGTTCCGCAAGGCCTGCCCGCTCCCAGGTGGTGTTCCCGCTCCAGGCGGGGGCGTTGGAGACTGCCGCTCCAGCAAGCAGCCCGTCTGCTTCCGCAGAGATAGGACTAGGATGCGAGCGCTAGAGTCATCTCGTTCAGGATGGGCGCCTGAAGCCCGGTCCACGGGACGTAGGCGCTCAGGTCGATGCCGCCCACGGCCGCAGCAATCGCAGCATCCACTGCAGTGTGGTGCTATACGGGACCCAGGGTGATGGCTCCGTCGGTTTCGCTGCTTGTGTATAGTAGCTGCCCAGCGTGGCGAGCGCCCGCTTGGCACCCAAGTGGTACAGGCGGACCGAGGGGAGCCAGAAGCGCACGCTGGGCTTTATCGCGAACGAAATTCAGGAGACGGGGCCTGTGGGCCAGGCGCTGTGCGGCAAGCTCATGGATGAAGCACTGCGGAAGCTGCACCAGCTGGCACGGCGGGAATTCCCGGACCGGCCGGGCATGACCTCTGCCCGAGCCGCGCAAGCTTTGCGGGACGACGTGGCCAGGCAGATTTTGGCCTCCAAGCCCCGGTTCTTAGGCAAGAGTGCGGCCGAGGGCCCAAACGATCGGCTGCAAGCTGATTTAGATCGACTTCAACGTCAACACTCGGGGGGCCAACAAGTACGGGCTGATTGTCTCGGATGTTTTCACCCGAGAGGCAGTGACCAAAGCCCTGCCCGATAAGAAGACAGAGACGGTCTCGGCAGCACGGGAGATCATCGAGGAGGAGACCAATTACGGATCAAGGGGTTGAATTCAATGGCCTGGAGGGGGCGCTACCGGACCCCGTCCGACATGGGGGCAACTGAAGCGAGCACCTGCCTGACGCAACCTTGGCCTGCAACCGCCGGCTCCACGAGCCGTGCACGCCCGAGGATGTGGAGCACCAAAAATCCACCATGTTCCGACTGTACCAGAACAATGCCAAAAAGTCCAGCAAAGAGAGAGATTGGAGGATATGGGGGCCTTCCAGGCTCCAACCAATGCGCGACGAAGCTTCGAGCCCCAATCTCCGAGACCTTACTAAAGCATGTCTTACCTGTGGCCCGCGGGAGCGCTGAGCCTAAACGAGACTCACCCGCCCGCCAGTACCACTGGCAATCAGGCAGCTGCGAGACTTCAATCCAGGGCCTGCTGCCCCGCCATGATTCTTTTTTATGCATGATGAATGAGCTCTAGGTTGTCAGCTGCCTGTGAAGGTGTCATGCAAAATCCTTCTGAGCAAAATCTGGTCAACTTGCTGGATTGTTGGTCACTACAATGGAAGCATTGCGGACGCCAACGAGGCATTGGCTTGGGATCATGTGACATTTACTGCACCCTGGGACTATGCTTTGGAGGCAATGCCCTTGCACGTCGAAAGCATCCGCCATAAAAAGCATGTGTCGCAATCAATCATTTCTTGCGAGATTGCTTTCCAAATGGAAAATGGACTCCCTCGCGTGATTCTGAACCCTCAGCAGTTCACTTCCAACACCAATCTACAAGAGAACGAAAATCATCCAAGGCGTCCGAGAGAAGAACCTGCTCACTAGAAGGCGTGCAACCTGGGCAGACGAGCAGTGAACGGTTTTGTTAGAGAGATTCAAGAAGGCAAACACAATAGAAACCAACAAACTTGCGCAGCACCGTGCACCTCCTTCCGCTTTGGAATCTTCATCTTATGCAGAATGCTGAATGATTCCACACCAAGGCGGAACAGCGCTGCCAAACAAACTCTGACAGCACATGCCCGTACGCTCTTTTTGTCCACCTTGCCAGAAGCTGCTTGAGCCATTCAAATTTCCTGTTAGGGAAAAACAAAGATGGTTCTTCAAGATGTAAATTCCTGCAAGAGCACGTTTCCAATCAGAATTGTTAGTCTTTTTCTTCGACAGGGTCCATGTCATGCAAGTGACGCCTTTTAGATCCAAGATTCAAATGCCCCGCGCAGTGGCCGGTTTTTACCATCGCTAGAGGACGAGGCTGGCACTCTTGGTTTGCAGTCTTACAGACGCGCCAGACAGTCAAATTTGCCTCCAGGCACTTACGATTTCTGGAGGCACTCACAAGTTCTCGCAGACAGAACTACACACGGCTCCACAAGACACAATACGCTATCAAGGTGTCACTGTCACTGCTTTGGCCAGCTCAGTCACGGATGTCGTCTTTCAGGTGTGCATTCAAAAGAGTCGCGCTGCATGGGTCTTTTGCCAGCGCGCTTGTGGGAGTGTTTGGTGCCAATGGTGCGCAGTTAGTTGTTTGGATGTGTTAGAAGCTTCAGTGCTATCTGCTATTCATGCTTCCCACTCAGCGTGCTGAAGATCCGGAGTGTTTGCAGTCAGCGTCTCAAGTGCTTCTGCACCGACTGTGTTCTAAAGAAGCTTCGAAACTCAAATTCTGCAAGAAGCACCATCGACCCTACGAGAACATGAAGTAAGTCCATCGACATGAGGAGCTCCCAGCCTTCAACAAGGTGATAATGGAGCCAGGCAAACACGGGCCATCCAGAACTTCCTGCGGGACAACCCAGCCGGAATATCTCGCAAACAGTAAATTGACTGGATCCAGTTCTCAGGCTTTCTTACACTGTCGAGATTCAGTATGACATCGACGACTTTGGTGAACAGGGGAAAGTCTAAGAGTTGGACACGTGAGCAATCTGACGTCAAGTTTTGCGAGATGGCAGCGAGTGGAAGCTACGAGATCGAGGGCGACTTGTCAACCTAACTGCAAGAAGTTTCGGTGATGGAGGTTCTTGTCTGACGGCCTACCCATACTTTCGCTTTAATGTCTGTGCCAGACGTGGCGCAGCATTGCTGGGTGACGGGCAGCTGAGTGATTGGTGCCGGTAGGTTCTTGTTTGCATTGGTCTCACCTCGCTGGCCTTGCGTAAAGTTGTCTTGCAATAGGGCCTCTGCGCTAGCGGTTGCTTCTTTGCAGTCACGACTTCTTTTACGCTCGCTGGCTTGCACAGTTTGACTCTCAAAGTAGTTGTTTCGATCGCAATAGACTGGCCCACTGTGCTGCTGATGTGGTAAAGCGGCGTCCTCTTCAAAAAAAAACTTGGCTGGAGTGCTGTGTGTGTGTACGAGATCAGAGAACTCTAATGGAACATTATCCATTATCAGTTCTGAAATGAACCCAGTTTAAGATATTCAGTTCAGGAAAGACCGGGTGAGCAGACAGAAACTAACGTAGGCGAAGCGAAGCTTGCAGGTACCGCAGGATATGTGTTACCGATGGCAAAGGTGTCATAACCCAGTGTGGGGTGACTCTAGGACAGGTTGGATGTGAATCAGGGGTATGTTTGGCGTGCTAAAGCAGCCGGGATGTCGGAGACGGATGTGGACATGTCATCTTCCACCACCATACGGGCCCTTGAGCTAATGTTGTTACGCAATGTGGAAAAATGGAGAACCCCGCCAATTTGCTGCAATGTATGATTTCCCAAAATCAATGATCCCGCTGCTTCTGTTTTGTCAGGCGAGTGGAAGGTTTTGGGATACAATTGCAGAACCAAGAATTTGCGATGTGTTATGATAGGCCACATCTTTTCCGCCGTGTTTCAAAACGTATGACAAACCTGCACCCACGACCCACGACGCATTTTGCATGTGATGTTTTTGTGGTGTTTGTATGTGGAGTTACCAACAGCCATCTCAACTCCGTGCTTTGACCTTCCCCACGTAACCGGTACCCAAACGCAGCTGCGCCGCTTGAATGCAACGGTGATTGGTGTATCTTGGAGCTGGAGTCTTTGGACACTGCTGCTCTTGTAAGGATGGCATGTAGGCTGGCCTCATGTTCTTTCTGGATATTGCCCGGGCTCTTGCAGTTCGCCAGGGCTGGCGAGGTTTGTGGTGCAGGCATGTCGCAGCTCTCGTGAAATTGCGATGACATTACTTATGCCACCATCCTCGTTTTGTGCAGGAGATGTTCCTTGTGCATCTCGCGCCCCCGCGTTGATTCAGCATCTATCCCGCCAGTCGCCGAGTTCGGATTTTCCGTTTTTCGCTCCGTAGTGTCCTGCAGATCTTCAAAGTTGTTCCAGACTCTGCCCCGCACACGTGGTCTAGTTGAGCCTTCTGGCAAAACCAAGGCCGGGAGCCTTCCACAGGCAGAGTGTTTGCAGGATGGGTTTCAGCTGTCCATGGCCTATGCACGTTTAGGGCGAAAGCGTCAGGTATGGTGTGTTGGATTGCATGCAGCATGTGGAAAGAAACACGCCTGCTGCAAGGTGGCACGACCATTCAAGGGAAAATTGAGCTTGTCTACAATATGAGTGCATATGCTGGAAAGTCTGCGGAAGAGTTCCATAACATCCAGGACGGCGTGCTGGGGGCATGATACGCCAAGCGATGAGTAGCTGCTTTCCTGTGTAAGTGCCCACTGAATTGCGTGGAACTGCCAGGACGCAGGCATGCAGGCCATGCAGGAATCTCTTGCGGACGTTATTGGATATGGGCTCGCGGCAAGGGACATCGGCCTGCGTTTCGAAGCTCACATAAAGCAGCAGAGTTTGGATATGTTTTGTTTCTTCACCTTCCCGTGCCCGGCAACAGCAACACCAGATGACGTGACAGCATCCATGTCCAAGATTACGGCGACTTCCTTGAAGGAGGTGCTCAACGCTAAGGCCGCGGCTTTCGGGGCCCATCCCCAGGACTTTACGGCCTCGGGACTTCTGGAAGCAACAGTCCTCCCGAGCACACCTTCGCACACTTGAGGGCTACCTGCTTCTATCTGCCTCGAGAAGCAATTAAATTACACAAACGCTGCGTGATAGGGCTTGCGCAAGCCTCTTGAAGCACAGTAACCAACGGACGCTCCGCAACTATTCGCACTGCGTGGGCTTCTGCGTTCAGAATCATGCATGCAGCAAGCGATGTTGAGTCGCTTCCCTTGCCGCTTGCCGCTTGCAAATAGATTCCGCGAACGAGGTTTGCTTTCAATTGCAGACAATTGCACTCTTTCCAGGAGTCATCGATGCATAGCATAGCTTTGAGGGCCGGGCACCAACAAAGCGTGTGGCGCAACGGTGAACTTCGGTTTTTTGAGGGTTGGGTTCATGGTGAAACACCCAAATGCCCTCTTAGAAGCCGTTCCAGACCCTCCGGATCCTGAACAGTAAGGAGCCCCAAGGTCTTCATCCGCACATATAATCCTGATAAGCCCACAGCACACCGATGAACCCTCAGTATCCATAACTGAACCTCCTCTTAAGCCTCGTGAGGCATCAGCGGTCATGTTATTCTCGGAGGTCACTGATAGATTGTTCATGAGGCCTCTCTGTAGACAATTGGTCCGCCGTAGCGTCAACAACAGTGTAACTGTGTGCCAGACAAAAGTTGTGTGACATGACAAGGGTTTTTTGCATGAACTGTTTTCGCTGCAATTGACACCCTTGGAGTTTTCAGCATGCTAAAGCTTTAAGGAGATGAACGGACCAGTTGTATTGTGGTTTTGGAGCCTTCAGTTGCCATGATGTGACACGATATTTGAAAGTGTGCACAGAAAGGGGCTTCGTGAGCTCCAGCCTACACGAAGTCTGTGCCTGTACCTACAGGGATGCAGCCAAGCAGTTCCGGCTGAAAGCCTTTTTGGTTACAAGCATCTTTGAAGAAACGATTTGGCCTCGAAATTCGCAAAGGTGCAGATGAGCCACGCCTTTTTGTTATTGGGCTCAAGAGTCTGAAGAGGGCTTCAATTCCAGCGATTAGGCGTGCTCAAAACCAGTTGCAAGCGCAGCCGTGGCACGCGAGTTTGAGCCAGTGTTTGGTTGGCAGCATAAAGTTGTATTTTCTGAACTTCCAAGTAAGTGTGCAGCGCGCCCATGGCGGATGGTTTGAGGAGCTGCTATGCAAGAGCGGAGCCACGCAGCACACGCGGGGCAAGGTTCCAGGTCACCTTCCTTGAACAGACTCTGTAAGGTGAGATAGCCCATAAAGCCCGGTAGTCTGATCGAAGCTTAAGCAGACCTTTCTCTGATCACTTAGCCAGGTCTGAGGGTCTGAGGGGGCGTGTGTTTCGCGATTTTTTTCTTGAGAGCGGTTTCCATGCGGAGGTTCTGCCATGGGGGCCTACAAGATGACGGTCGTCCTGTTCGCCAGACGCGTTGGCTTGAGTTGAGCAAAATTGAGCAAGCAGGCAGCAAGCGGGGCGTGCAAGGATTGCAGGGGCATCCGGCATGCTGCATGAGTGGCAGCATGACCGCATGACGTATGGATCGTATGGGGGGTGAGGCAAGCAGAGAGGGTGAGCATATCCAATCCAATCAGACGCTTTGTCCAACCAGCATCGCGCAGCCGATGGGTGAGGCATCTGCCAACAGAAGCCACTTGCTGCAGTTCTTTCATTGCGGTCCCTGCCATTCTTGCGGGCTCTCGCGTTTGAAATGCCACCTAAGTATGAGGCCGTCGAAGGTAACCAGAAGCTGCAAAACCACCTGCCGAAGACCCTGAGACGCTACCCAGAAAGAAAGCAGAGGAGCCTCAGCACGCCAGGGATCGGTGCTTCAGTCACAGGGAAGTGCTGAAGCCTCCCAAGGACAGCTCCTTGTGCCGAGGGCTCTGCCTGTTTTCGTCCAAGCGTGCGACTCCGAAGGCTAGCCTGTTGGAAGCTCTCGCTCCTCTGTGGCGTGGGTTTGTGCTGGATGTGCTGAGTGAATGCTGGGAAACCGCAGACTCTCACTCATAGTGTCATCACCGTTCTAACCCATGGATGCCACAGATTATCAAAAGCTTCTCGGGTCTGCCGCGACCTCCACCCAGGCAAGGGCTCGAGCAGTCACAGGCTCTCATTGGGCGTAAGAGCATCAGACACCACTGCCAAGCCGTTCAGGAAGGTGTTTCTCCTAAAGCACGCCGGAGGTCTGCAATTCATTTGCAGAAGGGTGCGCCGTCAGATGTGGACAGCAGGGCTTCCTCTAACCCTCGGAGCCAGCCACCGGAAACACGTATGACGTGCTGCCGAAGCTCTCAGCCTCTCTACCACCACAACAAAGCTTCAAACTTCCAAGCAAACTTTCGATGGCCGTGGCGATTCGTTGCTCCCTGTCGTCACGCGCCATGGCTGTCCCCCACTCAGGTGCAGTTTGTTGTGCCTTGTCTACGAGCCCCTGCCAACATCTTTATAGCAGGTTGTGCGTGAGATCCCCCTCTTTTGCTACGCGACATGAGGGGGTGGACCTTCCCAAGTGCAACATTGCACTCCGCCGTCTGGCAGCGGTGGAGGCAAACCTGCGACTTCAGACCTTGAAGCGTCGAACATTGCAATGCTTTCGTTTCCGTTGTTTCCGCCGAAGGTGAAGATATTGGTCTGCCATTAGGAAGCGCACTAGCCGCGAAACAACAATCTCCTTTCGTGTGTTCTTCTTCCTTGGCTTCTAGGCCTCATCGGAAATCTTGAGGCCACTGGCGGGCTGGTCCCTTTTCGATCCTCTTCGAGGGCTACAGCTATAGCCTAGCCCGGAAGAAGACTCCGGGAAACTAGCGGCTGTTTATGAGCGGGGCTCCTGACGCCATCCCTGGCAACCCATCATCTCAAAAATCCAAGGCCTCCATTGCTGCTGACTGCTTTTGGTCTCTTCAACGTCGGGCCACAAGCAACCCTGTGTGTAGGAGCACCGTTCCGCCCCACGTCCCTGCTTGTGTGCATCAGAGCATGCGGTGCATGGTGGTCATTTCAATCTTAATCTTGCCTCCGACTGGATACCTGTCATGCTGCCTTCTCGGGTAGGTCGCACGCACACAATTGGAGCTTGGAATACGCAGTGCTTGCCGGACATGCTCCAGAACTACTGTCTGCTTCGGCAGGGGGGGGGGTGGGGAGGTTGAATCTGCAATGTTGCAGGTTCGAACGCCCCACCCTTACACACGGAGGGGGATTGCGTGAGTAGTGCCCTCGAATGGCTGGTGCATCAAATCAGCTAGAAGCGTGACAGCGTCTGGATAAAGGTTTGAGGTGGTTCCGAAACCGGGCTTCAAACCAGACACGTGAGACTCAGGTGGGAACGCATGGGACATAGGAGTCGCGTCAAAGCCCTGGACGTGGCACTTCCTAAACCATGGACCCTGAAGCACCACCTTAATTCTGGCGCAGTGTATGTGCAGGCAGCTCGCGTGGCTAAAAGAGCAGAGAGGGCTTGTGGATACATGACCTAAGGAGCTCCTGGTGCAGCACGGTCGAGGAAGGCTCTTTGTTTATGTGCGCCGAGGGCGGATCAGACTGTCCCCAAGCCATCCGAAACCATCCACAGCCAATTTGGCAAGTCCAGCATCTGGGATCCCTGGGCCGACATGCTGGATACTGCACCTTAAATTTTTCGAGCATCTGTGAGCATCTGTGAACTCTCGCTCTCTGAACCCAACACATGTCCCGTCCTTTATTTGTGCCCTGCGTCGCTTCCCCAAGTGCGCCGGAGCTGTCCTGGATCCGGTTCCTTCTTCGGACATCTAGACGCCCTCACTAGACAAAGCTTCCGGGCGACAATCGCATCTCCAGTGGCCTCTTGGAGCCAGGCGACTGTCCGTGCTCGAAGGCTGTAAAGTAGGCCGAACCCGTTTCCTCTGTAGGGGCTTAAAGTCTAGGACCCTTCGAGCCTCTATTCTAGAGGCCTCTGGAATGTTGAGCCCGAGAAGGAAAGAAGCCCTCCGCCGGAAGTTGGGAGGAAGCATGCTCGCAAGGCATGCGGGGTCGATGCCGTCCTAACCAGGCTGGCTGGTAGAGACAAAGGTCTCTAGGGTTTGGGGTCTGGGCCTTGCGCGCTCCTCGAAACTATGCCCTCGCCAAGACGCTTTGGCAAGTTGTCTGCTTGGTCATGTGCGAGCAAACGATGGAACATGTTGCTCCTGTCTATTCTGGCTTTTGGGAGCATCTTTGGCCGTTTAGGCAGTGCCAAATGAAGCTTGGGCACACGTCCGCTGCGACGGTAGTACTTGGTACCGCTTGTTTCGGCTTGCGGTGCAGCAGCACGCCAACACAGGTTCAGTCGCAAGGACCGCTGGACCTCATGATGCTGTGACAATGGTGGTAAGCCGCCTCTCCCAGGTTCACGATGAGCGTGGCCAAGCTGTGTGGAGTGTCCTCACCTGGCCCGCGTGGCCCACGTGTCTTTTGTTGAGAGGAGCAAGAGGCCTGGTAGAAAGCAGCGTCCTTCAGTTGAAGCGATGGGTGGAGGCTTCCATCACCGGGTGCTCTGCAGTATGTAGACGGAGCCCCCGCTTACGGCCACGCCTTTTCTGGGACCTGTGGCTAGGCGCAGCTAGGGGCGATCTGGCTGGACGTGCCTCTGTATAGCCACCGGAGCTCGAACGAGCGTGGGGAGGTGTCCGCGGCAGGCTATCACGTGCAGGCCTGCAGCAGCCTGCTTTGCCAGTGCATCTGAGCAGCTTCAGGCTGTGTTTGCAGGGGAGACCACATCCATCTCGTGCAGATGCGGCTGATAGTGCCGCCTCCAGCATGCCCGAACAACTCGATGGCCGGCAGCTCAGCGCAGGTTCTGATCCTGGAATTTCATGGTTGTAGCTGTGTTGTAAAAAGAGGTTTTGTGCTTTGGACGGGCCTTTGAGCCCGCCAGCATCTGTGTTTGCCGAGCACTATGTTTCCCGACATCACTACAGTGAATGCCAAACCCGAGCCCGAGGTCCGATAGGCTTCATGACGGCAAGGCGAGTTAGCAACCGACGGCTACCGAAGAAAGAGCTTCTCCGACCACGACAGCGGAGAGGTTCCTCGTTCACATGATGGCGTTTGGAGAAGCTGAAAGGGGCAGCTGCTTTGCCGCGGTTCGCCTCTCAAGCAGGTGCCTGCCGTACCTCTGGGCCCTAACGCCCCAGATGACAGATGCCATGCCACCACTGAGAGTCTGGCACGCTTCCTGTGGATGATTTGGAGATGCCATGACGCACATAAAGCACCAAATCTGTGTCCAGCTGCGGTGTGGGCTGCGCAGTGGAGCGGCAGCAGGGTCTGCACCGCACAGTCAGCTTCGCCGGTAGCATCTCAGAGGTGCTTTCGGCACGGCCTTTGTGCCCGAAAAGCGAAGGTGACAGGCCGGACTTCGGATATGTCAGGTTGCAACTCAAGGGTTCTTGCGCAACATCTGTCCTCACCTGACCTCTTACGCTCCCACAATGATGACTCTTCAAGCCAGCTTCAGTCTGTTTTGTTGCCTTGTCCTTGGATGCAGGGAAGTGCCGTGCAGCCTTTGGCCACCTGCCTGTGGACGCGCAGCAACCGGCAAGTAGCACAGTTTCCCTGTTGAGCATCCATCCGAAACTGAGGTGGGTTCCAAAACAGTCAGGGTGAGCCTGCATCGAGGCCAACAGTAGCAGGAGGTTGTAACGAAGAGCGAGTTTGTATGGAACGATGGTAGTGGGAGGAATGTGATGAGGAAAGACTGGACTTGAGTTTGAACATCTGCAGGTTGGGCGTGTACCATGCTCGTAGCCGCAGCAGTCTGCAAAATGCCAACCTGGTGGTCATCAGCTTTATCGTGCTTGGGTGTGTGGTGCTACGAAGTTCAACAGCACAAGGTCCGGCGGAGCTCTGTTCAAACGCCGGCTCACAGACGATGGTAAGCGGTCTCCAACATCCGCCGTTTCCAGGAAGCCTACGCTCTCACACAAGCGAGGAGGAAGGCCTCCCTACTGCCCGGGACCCCCGGGACATGGCAGGCCAAAGAGTGGGCGCTGCGTTCCTGGTGCTCATGGCATCTTGTGCCTTCCTGAGCTTCTGTGGGACATGGCGTCTGATCCAGACTGTGCATGCGCTGGAGGCCCTTGCCCCCCTGAAGATGGGTGCGCACGCCGGAAGGGGGCACTTGTCGGTATGGTAGAGGCGAGGCAGCATCCCGTTGGTGTTGGGCTTGCCGCCAGCCCTTCTCCATGCCATTCTGTGCTGCGGCCATTGGCCGAGGGTGCAGAACAAGCAGTCCTCCATTCCCTCGTAGCTTTTCCCATGGCCCACAGAAGATCGAGCACAACCTGGCAAACATCCAATTCTTGAGCCCTAGGAATCTCCGGGCCTCGGTTCTTCCGGCTCCTAGATTCCTAGACCCGAAGCCCTATGTAGCCAATTTTAGAGCCTCTTATGTCAGAGCCTGCAAGACCCCTACTTTGGTGGTAGGACTTGGCATGTTTTTTCGGGCTAGTTCAGTGGCCTCAGAGGCTGGAGCTGATGCAGCCTGCGTCAGGAACGTGCGGTACTTGCTGCGTAGGCGCGACTCCCCTTCTCGCCTTGTGGTCGCATGCCCGTCTCGGGAGCCTTCTTTCAAGCGCCCGCTGGAGAAGCTTGTGGATTGAGTCGTCACCGTCGGCACGGGCTGTGCGCCGCCATCTTGTCACAAAGAATTGGGAACTGCTCCATGTTGTCTCGTGGTGGACACATCCCGCAGCATGGCAACTCATGTACCAGGCTTATGAGCTAGTTCTTTGCGTCTGATGGCTTGCAGGAAGGGTCTAAGTCATCGGGCTGACCGTGTGGTTTTCGTTTATTCAGGCTCGGCTTGGGGTCTACCGTTTGGTACGTTATGGCGTCGCCCGTGTGAGAAGCGAGGAGCGTTTAGGTAAGCTCTTCCGGAGTGATCCCTCTTAGACTTGGGGTCTTCGATGACGTGGCTCGCTCGTCCTTGAAATCTAAACTCCTCCTTCGACGCTGTGCTCTGACGAGCCTGGAAGTGCTGCAGATCGCTTGCACCTGCCTGCACCGTCGTTTTTTTGTGAGGATGCCGTCGATTTGGGTGGCCGTTCATCTTTAGGGTTTTCGGAGTTTCTGCTCAGCTGGAGAGAAAGAGACGGCCTTGAGGGAGTTTGCTCGCACTGGAGTCAACATCGATAACCTTGGTAAAGGGGCTATGAGAAGGAGCGCGCTAAGGCAGTGGCACGAGGAAAGTCTCCAGACATGCTCGGATTGTGGTGGGTGGGCCGATGCCCAAACGAACGATGGTGACGTCATGCTACCACGCAGCTTCTTCTCAATGTTGTCACTGGCATTATAGGCCTGGGATTGGCGGTCAGCCAAAAGCCAGGTCTGTGACAGGCTTCGCAATGCGTCGGCTACCGATACCCTATTGATGCCCTGACTCACACCTGCAGATAGGCTTTGGAACCTCCCAATGGCGGGACAGACCCGAAATGAGGCTTCACTCCTTGGTTCTCTATACTCTGAGTCACAAATTCACCGGGTTCATCGTTGCAGGGGTGTCTGTCATCTGGAGGAGTCAAAAGAGTTGCAAGGAAGCAGCCACAGGCATTTGCGATCGTAGAGGTTATGGATTTCGACTTAGGGCTTTGACAATGCCTCATCTGTGTTGTGTGCTTTGGTGTCCTATGTGGGATGCGGGATCCCTAGAAACACCTTTGCCAAAGCGCAATGTGGCTTTGCAGGTCAGTGCGTGGCTACCTGGTCAACAGGGGTTGTTGCAACTGAAACTCCAAAGCTGTCAAGCATCCCAATCCCTGAACCCAATTTGCTGAATCACTAGCTGAGCCCTAGTTGCTGTCGACAACCTCCTGCTGGAGTCTCTGGACTCTTCAGCACTTGACCTTGATTCCCGATGCAGGTCCCAACCACTGGGTGCAAGGGCTCCCGCAGAATCCGAGGTACCTCCGTAACCCTAAACAAGAAATCGATTTGCACCCTTTTCGCTCTGCACTCACCTTCTTTGGGGGTTCCGAAAACCGTCCCGTGGGGAGCCGAGACACTTGCATGAAGCGGAGTGGGCTCAGTGGGTTCGGATTTTGCGGGTCAGGCATCGCCTGCGGACTTGTGTTTTCAAGGCGTACAGAGCGAGTTCCAGTGGCGTCGCCTGCGACTGCGGCCCAAAAGCCTTCTTTTTGCATCACGCGCAGAAGACCGAGGCTGCGACACCGATGTTTCAGATTCTCCGGAGCCTTCTTGCCTTGTAGTGGTTGCACAAACCCGAACCCCCAGTGTCTCAAAGACCGGCACTGATTTCTGAAAGCTGGCTCGACAGGCGAGCCTGTTAGCTAATCCACGAATGTGGCAAGAAGAGTCCAAACCCAAACCCCAGGAAGGAGCCCAATCATGAAAAACTCTTCCCCCACAAAATTGCTCCGCCTCCAGCGGCTTCCCGAACGTCTGGTCTGAAGAAGGGCCGGGAGGACCCATGGAAGCGATCTCCGTAACTTTGGGGGTGATGAGACGCCGGTTTCCCTTCCGAAGGTCTTTGCATTTCGGGTGTAGTGCGGGGTTCAGGTGTACGAGGCTGGAGGGGAATGAATGCCTAAAGCACAAATCCTTAAAACCCCGATTGAGGCTTTGAAGGGTTCGAGGGGTTTAAGGGATTTGGGGGTGCAGGGCTGGAAGGTTTGGACCTTCGGGCTTCGGGCCCGAGGCTGGCACGTACGCCACAGATGCAGTGGCTGCCACGCATCCTCCCATGGCCTTGCAAAGAGCCCAAGTGCTTCTCCGGCCAATCCGAGGCACAGTCTCTGTGCGCTTATGAAGGTCACCCTGAGAACCCGGAAGCTCCCGGCAAGGACCCGACCTTCAAGAAGGCCGAGGTCCACTCCCTTCTCAGAATGGGGCCGCGACTTGCGGTGCAGGCGGTTTCGGCTTCTTAGGTGCAGTCCCGGCAGATCTGGCACCAGCTCCGAGGGGTCAAATTGCTTTGTCTCCACGTCCTGGATTGCCAGGACCTGGTCTTCTTTGACAATCCCAGCCAGCATGAGTGGCAACCCCAATTCCAGGCTCCCAAAGCCAGGATCCTTTGACATCTGTTACGTAGCCATTTCCTCTGCAGAGCGTAGGCTCGCGGAGGAAGTCTACACGAGCCCAAACCGCGTTAGTCGTAGGCTCTGCATAAGGTTCCAGGCTCGGGGCGTAGGCCGCCGTAGGCCAGCATACACCTGCGCATTGCCTCGCGGAGTGCCCCGCTACGGAGCAAGAATGCATTCCCGTGTGGCCCGCGTAAAGGGTCGCCAGAATCGTGTTGGGCACCTCGCAGGGGAGGCTAACGGGCTGCGTGGGGTAGGATGCGCCTGGTACCCTTCTGGATCCTTTCAGAACCAGCCCCACTCAGATTCGATGCTTGCGAGTTGCCGGCCTGTGCTCCCGTCACCTCGCAGGCCTCAGTGCTGATGCAGGCTTGGAGCTTGTTGGCCAGCCCTTCGAGCTCCCCCGAAATGCCTTGTGCGTCTTGCGTGCTTCGTGTGCATCGTGTGCATCGTGTGCGTCGTGTGCTGGGAGCATGCTTGAGGCGTGGTGTGCCACTCCCGCGTCTATGCTTCCTTAAGTCGAAGCTTTGAACGCCGACGACGGATTTGCCCAGTCTCGGCACTAGCTCGGCAAATGCCTTTCATGTTGGTCTCTGCTCATTTGGGAGCATCCCCGTCCCTCAGCCTTCTCTGAAACCCTGAAGCACTTCAGGGCTGAGTAGAGCTTCAGGGCTTGTTCTTTGGGACTCTACAGATTTGAGAGTGGTGGTGCTCGCACAGAGGCTGCAGCTGTGCGACAGCCTTCCTCTGAAACCGAACTTTGCAGAGCCAGTACACAAAGGAAGGGCCCTGTTTCTCTCGGCCGAAAACATTCTTGGCCCCTCTGAGCCACATCGACATCTCCTCAGCCGCCCTCTAGGCCGAGCAGCATCTCTTGCGGACGCGCCCCTGTGCAGCTCCCGGATGCTGCCACGGCTTTCCAAGAAAGTGGAGGCTGGGGGCCCAGGGGGCCCAGGGGGCCCTGGGGGCCCAGCAACCCTCGGCTGCTTGTGGCCCGCAAGGACGGAGGACTTCGGGTGGGCATTCAGGGACCCCAGCCCCATCGAGGCAGCTTGAGGGCCGCAAAGGTGCTCCTGGGCCGCCGAGGGGCGAGCTGGGACGTGAGACTCTGATGGGTTTTGGGGACAAGGCCTACGAGCATCACGGAAGCAGCAAGTTGGAGGACAACCGTAAGCGCCATGATGGCAAGGGACATCGCAGAAGTGAAAAGACTCGAGTTTCACGAGTTCGGGAGGCGAGATATCGTTGCAGGAAGCATCGTAGTTGTGTGGTCTCATCCCTGATGCAACAAGGGTATGGCTTGGGGTTTAGGGCAATTGGGTGTTTCGAGTGTCAAGACTTCTGCAAGGTTCACGTGGGCTGAGGTTTGTAACCATGCACAACCGCATCTTGTTGCTTAGCATGTATGTTGCAGTCTGGCAGCAAGTGGCATGTGAATGACCTGGACGGACACTCTAAGCGCAGACATTGATTACATGCGGGAGCTTTGCTAGGTCGGGAATCTGGGCAATACAGGGCAGGCAGAAGACGCACACAAGTGATTGGTATTCCATGATCCTATTGTTGGGGGTAGCAGGGAATGAGGGAATTAAGGAGGGAATTGGAACCCTATATATACCCTTTAAGGGATTACACAAGGGTACCTCATTACCCCATTCCCTACTCACCAACAGCAAGTGATGCTTTGGCATGGCCCACAAACACAAAGCTTACGTTTCGGAGACCGGAGCCTGCAGCTTGGCCATGGGCGCTGTCCAGGCCTGGCCTGGCCTTGCCAAGAAGAAAACTGTGGGTTTCTCTACATTCTGGATGTCATGGAGCTGTTTTTTTTTTTGGGGTTTATGCAGAAGGCCCCATCGTATAGATGGGAACCTCCGAAACAGAAGCTTTAGGGTTTGGGGCTCGCAGGGTGCCATTGATGTCACGCGAAATAGTCTGACACGGTCGATGGTGTTCAGGTGTGTCCTCGCCGAGTGCGGCTGACACTGCGCCTCCGGCTCCGTGCGTTCACAGATTTAGACTTCTGCAAGCCGAGCAAAGACCGACGGGCTGCCTTCTTTCTCATCTCTCTCTCTCTCTCTCTCTCTCTCTCTCTTTAGGGCCTGATGTCGGAAAGCTTGTGATAAGGGTCGAGTTATTGGTTTCACACGCGATGTTGTTGAATCGGTGGGTGAATGTGGGTGGTGCCGCTTCTCAAATTACGATACCGTCGAAGCCTTGCGGTCACGAGGTCTTGTACTTGCAATCCTTGCTGCTCATCTGGAGCTCTTGAATCTCAGTCTCCAAGTTGTTGTTCTCCCATGCCATTTCAGCCTTCTTTTACAAGGAAGTCTAGTCTGGTTCCATGTCGGTTCAGAGAAGCACCTTCGGCTGGACAAGCATCAAGGAAGTAATTGCTTTGCCACGACGTGTAGGTGCTGCATGGGTTCGGGACTTTTTTTCGTGTGGAGCTGCACAATGGAGTTTAGGATAGGCGCTGCCCGATGAACTCGTAAATGCGCTGGTAGCCAATTTCTGCTGGTGCAGGTCACAGGCACCAAGCCCAACAGAAAGAGCCCCGTGGTCACAGCAGTATTCTTTCACTGCCCCAAGAAAGCAACCAACAGACTGAATGATCTCAAAGGCGAAAGCCCTTCAGCACAGCCTGTCCGACAGCCCAAGGAGCCAAGGAGCCAAGGAGCCAAGGAACCTGGGAGCCCAGAACCTCTCCAGATCCAAGGAACACATGCACTTACACGAGGTTGTGTTGCAAGACCCAGGATTTGAGGCTGAGTTGATTTGGGTTGTGTTGTCAGACTTGCATTGAGTGTTTAGCTGCCACTTCGAGTCTCGGCCACGTGGGCAGCCCAATTTTGGATTAAGGTGGCAGGACTTTCTGTAGTAGCTCATTAGGAGAAAGCAGCCATGCCGAACTTCACTGTGGATCAGATGCGCACCATCATGGATAAGACGGATAACATCCGCTCCATGAGTGTCATCGCCCACGTGGATCACGGCAAGTCCACCTTGACAGACTCCCTGATCTGCAAAGCGGGCATCATCTCGGCGAAGGCGGCAGGTGACGCGCGCTTCACAGACACCCGAGCAGACGAGCAGGAGCGAGGTGTGACCATCAAGAGCACTGGGGTGTCCCTTTACTTCGAGCATGATGAGGAGGATGGCAAGGGCCCGGTGGCTCACCTGATCAACCTGATCGACTCTCCCGGCCACGTCGATTTCTCCTCGGAGGTGACTGCTGCTCTGCGAATTACCGATGGCGCCATGGTCGTTGTCGACTGCATCGAAGGCTGTGCTGTGCAGACAGAGACTGTGCTGCGTCAGGCCCTGCAGGAGCGAGTGAGGCCTTGCCTGTTCGTGAACAAGGTCGATCGCTGCATCCTTGAGCTGCAAATGGAAGCCGAGGACATGTACTCCCGCTTCCGAAATGCCATTGAGAACGTGAACGTGATCATTGCCACCTACAATGACGCCTTGATGGGTGACGTGCAGGTGACCCCTGAGAAGGGCACCGTGGCCTTTGGAAGTGGCCTCCACGGATGGGGCTTCACAACAGAGCGGTTTGCCAAGATCTACGCCACAAAGATGGGTGTCGAGAAGGAGAAGATGATGCAGCGCATGTGGGGTGACTCCTTCTTCAACGCCAAGAAGAAGGTGTGGACCAACGTGATGCAGCCAGAGGGCTGCACCGAGCCGCTGCAGCGTGCCTTCTGCCAGTTCATCATGGGCCCCATCAATCAGCTCATGCGTGCCATCATGAACGATGACAAGGAGAAGTACGAGAAGATGATGGGAACGCTGGGCATTGTGCTGAAGGGCGATGAGAAGTCCCTGACCGGGAAGCCTTTGATGAAGCGAACCATGCAGATCTGGATCAACGCCGCCGACACCTTGCTGGCGATGATTGTGACCAAGTTGCCTTCCCCTCGGGCTGCGCAGAAGTACCGTGTGGAGAACTTGTACGAAGGTCCCATGGACGATGCAGCGGCCAACGGCATCCGCACCTGCGACCCAGCCGGTCCTTTGATGATGTATGTGTCGAAGATGGTGCCCACCTCGGACAAGGGCCGCTTCTACGCCTTCGGCCGCGTGTTCTCTGGCACCATCGCCACTGGACAGAAGGTCCGAATTCAGGGCCCGTACTACAAGCCGGGCAGCAAGGAGGACCTGCACGTGAAGAACATCCAGCGCACCGTTCTGATGATGGGCCGCACTACTGAGCAGATCCAGGATGTGCCCTGCGGAAACACCGTGGCACTGGTTGGCGTTGACCAGTACATCCTGAAGTCTGGCACCATCACCACCCTGGAGGATTCTCACAACATCGCAGACATGAAGTACAGCGTGTCCCCTGTCGTGAAAGTCGCCGTGAAGGCCAAGGATGGAAAGGACCTGCCGAAGTTGGTGGAGGGCTTGAAGAAGCTGTCCAAGTCCGATCCCCTGGTTGTGTGCACGACTGAGGAGAGCGGAGAGCACGTGATCGCAGGCTGCGGCGAGCTGCACGTCGAGATTTGCTTGAAGGACCTGAAGGACGAGTATGCTCAGTGCGACTTCATCGTGTCCGACCCTGTGGTGTCCTACCGAGAGACGGTGAGTGAGACGTCTGGCCAGACGTGCTTGGCCAAGTCGCCGAACAAGCACAACCGAATCTACCTTGTGGCCGAGCCTATGGACGAGGAGCTCAGCAAGGCCATCGAGGATGGTGTTGTTGGCCCTAAGGCCGACCCCAAGGAGCGAGCCAAGATCTTGTGCGAGAAGTTCGAGTGGGACAAGCAGGTTGCCCAGACCAAGATCTGGTGCTATGGTCCTGAGACTGATGGTGCCAACCTGGTTGTGGACTCCACCGTGGGCGTGCAATACCTCATCGAGATCAAGGAGCATGTGAACAGCGCGTTCCAGTGGGCCACCAAGGAGGGACCTTTGTGCGAGGAGAACATGCGCGGCATTCGCTTCAACCTGATGGATGTGACCCTGCACACCGATGCAATCCATCGTGGCGCGGG